AGGATGAGGGGTCGTGAAGGGGATAGGGGGCTTAAATTTAACCATTTTTAATTCTAATTCTAATGAATACATCTTTGTAAAATGTTGATGAATTGTACTATTAGTCAATAACAGGAAGGAAAGAACAAATCCTTTTACATATTTTCTCGTGGTAAATATTCTCCATACATTTCTCTATCGATCTAGGCAAGAACCAAGTTTTAATCCAAGTTAAAACCGAGCCAAAAATCGAGGAAAAATTTTAAAAATATTTTTGTCAAAAACTAGAAGTCCGGGAATCGAAAAAGTCGTAAGAAATACTCTTCAAACTGTCTTCTACAAACTGAGAAAAAAACAGGATGAGGGGTCGTGAAGGGGATAGGGGGCTTAAATTTAACCATTTTTAATTCTAATTCTAATGAATACATCTTTGTAAAATGTTGATGAATTGTACTATTAAGTAATTTCTGACTAGCAATTAAACATATCTGATCAGCATGATATGAATTAAAATGTTCTGAATGTATCCTTAAACCTTTTGGTATTAAACCATGCTTTTTACACTTTTGTAGAAAGAAATCTTCAACGTATATAGTAGTTAGTCATTTTAATAAGGCTTTACGATGCTTACAAATATTAATAATACGTACGAATAACGTTAACATAATTTTCTGACCACAATACGAAAATGTGTAATGTAAATTACATTTTTACAATGTATATTTTTATCAACGAAAACACGATCTTCCCATGGGGTTTTCTCTTTCACCACTATTAGCAGATATTGTACTTAACGATTTCATAGAAAAATATTGGAACAAGGCACGGTTTCCATTTGCCTATTTTGGACGATATGATGATGATGGGCTCCTCATTTCACAGTTAAGTGAGGATCAAGTAAGCGAATTAGTTGAAGATTTGAATAGTAAAATGACAAATTCGAATATAAATTTTAAATCTGAGAAAAATAATCAATTGCCATTTTTGGATATTTTAATAGCAATTGACAAAATAAACAAAAATTTCACAACCAGTTGGTTTCGAAAAGAAATAGCATCAAATTACCTTTTGAATTTTCATTCGAATCACAATTCAGCAATAATATCACTAAAAATAAGACAATTATGTTTTGATAGCTAATTTAAGTAAAAGTAATAATTCGCTGGCCTGTGTTTCAAACGCGCTGCCAGTCTTTGATAACTTTTCTATTAGCACATATTGTAGAGCTTTTCAAGGCGCATCGAATGGTGTATTACACTAAGCTGAATATTAGATAGTGAGGGAGAAAAATTAATTTTATGGTCATCGTGATGGTGTGATAGGAATGTCTCTTTTCGAGCAGGTTTCATCGAATATACTCAACTGCAAAAGGTTAATGGTTAATTAAAATGGTTAATAGTTAAAAGGTTAATTAAATGAGCAAAAGCGAATATGATAATTTTGGCCATACTGGAGAAATAAGATGCGATGAGCCGATTTCCGGACATATGGGGGCTGGTCATTTAGTAGTTTATTTCCACAATAAAGCTTATTTCTTGATAAGTTAACCGGATGCTTAGATCACATGACACGTCTTGCTTCAATGACAGAACCACAAGATCTCTTCAAGATGTATGTCTTCCCTCTACTGAAGAGTTTATAACTGTTTCAGCCTATGTCAACCCATAGAGCTGAAATGATTAACACGTGGTTAACCTATGGCACGAAATCTTGGCACAAATTAAAATTCATATTTCTCTATTGTAAACAATCTGTTTTTCAAATCCAAATATAAATATAGTCTTGATTTAAAATTTTTTGTACTTCGTTGAAGAACGAAAATCTGTCCGCAATCGCCTGGACAAAGACTTGGTATTATAAATTCGATGAACTTGAACGACGGACTTTTCATTCAATTCAATACTTTCTCGAATTTCTTCCACATCCCATTCTTTTGCGACATCATTAATTGTTATTGAATTGAAGATTGTTATCTGTTGCATAGATCTTGCGACCATTTCTCCATCGACTGTAGTTCTTCGAGTGTGAATGTATGCAACGACCAATAGAGTCGATGCTGTTTGAGCCAATTTTCTCGAGCGAATGAAACATGTACTTTGGAATTAAATTTGACGGGTTCATCTACTACTTTTGTTTCACTTGGCTTTTGGTCTTTCTTGAACCGAATTTTAAACGGTGGAAATTTAAAATTCGGAGAATAACTTGCTGGCTGGGCACGATGTAATGAGGATATGTGCGAGTCGGTACTGATGTTGATTGTGTGATGAATGGTAGAAAATTTTCTTTGTCTGTTTTGGCTTCGTCATTACGTTACTTTTATGAAAATAAAAATGTATACTCTGTGTTCTGTATTATTCATTCATAGTCGTCGATGATATTCCGTAAAACTTCTTGGGGGGATTTACGATTTTGTTTGATTTGGTACCCTTCATTATCTTCTGTTGTTGTTAATGAAAAATTGATTCTTGTGAAGTCAAAGTTTTGTAGTAAGTACTCTTCACTTGCATCTCTCTTTCCTCCATGTACATATGACTCACTTCTATCTCCAGATTGTACATCAACTTCGGGCTGCTCATGCGTTTCCGACTCTGCCGGTCCCTCACTTCTCACAGAACTGTTTTACAACAAAAGATTGCGTTGAAATCGATTGAAATTTAAGTTAAATTCTCTATTTATTCTTCTCAAACTAGAAGATCTGTGTAACGTTAATCAGATCACGTGACACTGTTCATTGAAACTGTGAATGAAGATTTTACAAAAATGAAACTTTATCTTATCTCATAAATGATTTGAAATATTTTCCGATTGTAACAAATATAAAAGATTTACAAAATGTGGGCGTGTTCTTTTTCATCTCCACGAAATAGTTAAAGGAAGAGTCACAGTTAGGTTATAGAACTAGAGCAAATATCTTGGAAGCAGCATTTTATACAGGAGAATATATAAACATAAAGTTACTTTACACGCATATTTTTATTCAATTTTCATCTATAGATACGTACAAAGAAAGAACGTTAATAAGAAATAGATGTATTTTTGGAGTCATAACATCAATGATCTTCATTGCTTTAAGCACTTGTACCTGTTGGTAATGTACCAGTATAACTTTCTACCCATTTTCGGTAGAAAGAGCATTTGGTATACACTCCACCATCACTATAGATAAGACAACATTTACTGCATAAGTCAAGAAAGAATATCTGTCTATAACAGCAAACTTACCCGCATCCATAACCCTAAAAAACCAAACGGAAAAAGTAGGCGATTAACCTAGAGTTAAACACTTTATAGACGTACCCATGATGTAAGACCAGCAAGTTTCCATCTGCCATTTGATTCACAAACTAATGGACCACCTGAGTCACCTTGGCATGTGTCTTTATCTTCACCAGTGTGTCCAGCGCATACTTGTGAGGCCGGATTTAACATGTTATTTGAGCCACCAAACTTAGCTTTACATTCGGCATCAGCCAATACAGGCATCTCGACTTCATAATGAAAACGTGTTACTGATCCACCTGAATAAGTTGAACCCCATCCAGTTGCAACAGATTTTTTAAGTTGAAAATCCTCTGTTTCTTGTGGCATACATACAGGAAGAATATATTCATTGTAAGGTTCAGCAGTAGTCTGTTCAAAGGCGAATATGTAGAACGATGATGAGAAATAGCTGCAAGATTTAGTATAGCGTTACTTACAGTTAATTCTAGAAGAGCAATATCATTTTGAATTAGACGGCTGTTATATGATGGATGAGAAATAACACGTTTAACAGTATACGTTTTAACCCAAGATTCCTAACGAGAAACGAAATTTACAAATATTATTTAATCAGGAAAATAAATCACTGTAAAAGCTAATGTCAATCAAATGCTTGGATAAATCATCGCTCAGCAACAATGCTGATCAACACTAACGCTCCTATATTTAGTATCAAGAATCAATATTGCTATTGTTTAATTTAATAGTCTCGTTCTGGTAAAACTCGAGAAAACTTGGTACATCGATTTTTTCGATTAAAGATTTACATTTTCTCTTCCGATACAACACTAAGCACGCTTACCGGTATTGTACGATCATGAATACCAAGTTGAACTCTATAGTTTGCGGGATTTGTACTAAAAAAAGATAGAATAGCAGAATTATTGTTACTTTTAATATATTAGATTTTATATATTTTTACTTAGTCACACAATGCGCTGCTGTGATAAACCAGGTTCCTTTTATTAATGAACCACCACAGATGTGACGACCATTCGATAGTAAGGAACCGGACCATGGCCTTAAATAAGATCAAGTGATAACTTTTTAGAAGAAAAATTTTGTTTTTCAAGCAAGTCTGTATGATGGTATAGTATAAATTGCTGCTTACCAATCACCAACTTTGGCTACTACACCACCTACAACCTTATTTACAAGTGGTCTCAAACCACAATCATCTAAAAGTAGAAATCGAAATCAAGTCTTAGAAATTAAAATTCATTCAACTACTTACCTGGTCCAAATGTTTGCGATTGTGCATTAGCGTATGCTAAAATTAATTAAGTAACCATGTATAGGATGAAATGATTTTATCTTCGACTACATACCAACTAATAGTACACATATGACGGTTCCAATCATCTTTCTTGTATTTTCTAAATTGTTGGTTTACCAATACCTATTTCATTAATATACTTATATATAAAGCCTTTGTTTTGTTATCTTTAGCATAGTCATGATGTTAAAAGAATATAATCATAATTAGTCAGGATTATATGATGAGATTTTATGCAACTGTCTTTCGATTGTTTTAATTTAGTTTGTGCGAACCAAGGGCTGTGCGCATACGTGGGTGTTTAGATACTAGTGCAAGGTCATTCAATAATAGACAAAAAAATTAGCTAGAATGTTTTGTAATAGAAAAATCTTCATTTCTATCATATGACAACTAACGGTACAAGATTATTGTACTATTGTTGCGTATTAAACAGGGCTAAAAAATTTAACAAAAAACGATTTTATTTTGTATTATTAACGATTAAAAACATATTAAAAGTTTCAAAATCAATGCTGTCGAAAATACGTTTCACAACGCAGCAGTTTTCTTTTCTCCTTTTCGATCTTGTTGTTATGGAATATTTTTTTTAGAACGACATCGTTAAAACGCGTTATCAAATAAAACAAATGCGTTACAACGATTATTTTAGCATCGTTAACAAACATGTTCTCGAAAAAAGGCGTTTGAACGGCTCTTTTTATCGAGTATTTCCGAAGAATTTTTATTGTCTGGTACAGATAATATTCTACAACATCGTTCAGATTTTAGCAGCGTTCTTATCATTTGTTAAATTAATCATGCAGTAAAAGACTTTTTGTCTTGCAATCACATTCTACAAAAATTTCAACTATAAAATTATAGCTTTGTTAACATTTAGTATGAGAGCGTCCATTTCACAATGTGATGATCGAACTTTGTACTGATAGTTATTTTATAAGTTCTAGAATGAGTTTAATAATAGACTGATAGGACAAAATTGATTTGATAATAAAATGTTGTTTTGGAATCTGTTTCAGTTCAACTCAAATGAGGCTTGGAGGCCATAATATTCTTAAAGGCCCCCCCTCAGAAATGGTGATTTTCGGTCAAAACATCGGTTTTGAGATACGGAAAGATAGCCTAAAGTGTCTACTTCCAGAATCTGTATTGCTTTCGGTTACAAAACTGGTTTTGGGAGGGATTTTCAGCAAGTTTTTTAAGAGTCTTGAAAAACCGGATCTTCAAATAATAGTTTTTTCCTGGATACCCATGCAATTAAAATTTTTCTGAACACACAGCTTTGTTGAGCAAACGTTTCTGATCAAAATAAGACCTCGTACAACTTTGTTTGATCTTGCATCAAAAAGTTACAGGCATTTTCCTATAAGTTCTAAAATCGAGTATTTCATACAGCATTTAATACAGCGTTTTCTCTATATAAGAGTTACACCTGATGTGCATCCCAAGATTTTTAATAGCGGTTTGTCGTAGAGAGTTCATTCTTTTTTTGTTTAAAAGAGGAAAAGGAACTACATGGACTGACCGGCGTCGATTTTTGAATTAGATCTTAGTTTTTTGTCAAACCGAGGATTTTTCGGGTTTTGGAGGTTATTGGTTGCCTGGAAAACCAATAAAGGCTTAATTGACAAATCGGCACCGATTAGTCCATATAGTTAGGTGTCTAGTTTAAAGTAAAACAAACCCGAGCTCTCCAGCTTGAAGTATATTAAAAAATCTTGGGTCGCACTTCAGGGCCCTTTTTGGATCTTGATCTCTGAAAAACTCCTAAGCCGTAAGACTTGGAGACAAAAAAATTTTTTTGTTCCCGTAACTCATTGTGCCTAACATTTATGGAAAGTTTCGTCAAGATCGGGTGTACGGTGTCGGAGAAAATTTCTGTGTGGGGGGCCTTAATCATTTGATATTGAAAATAAAATAATAATAAAATAATAGAATGAGAAAATATAGTCAGGTGTGTAAAATCACATTGAGTTTATCTCATAGAATATATATGTCTACGACACCAGAAGGAAGAAGTGTATTGTTTTTATTATTATTATTATATATCGCTATTTATATTCCAAAATACATTGAATTTTATTCAACAGCGTTATTCCCAGTAAGAGATGATACGTTCATAACTTCGCCCTCCAAAATAACATGGTTTTACAATAGCAACAAGGGCTGCATCTGTTCCATGTATCTCCCATTGTTTGCTTAGTATCCATCACTTACTTTCATTCTCTGTCGAACCTTCTAACCATTTATTCAATCAAAAACTGTTTTGGTCATTGAATATAAACATTTTTTATACAAAATATCTATCGGTTTGCTATTATCACTCTCGATGACAGTCGTCAATAGTATGGATTTGCACAAATGATAGACTTTTGGCACGAAATTCAGAATTCGTGAATTCATTCTCCTATCCATTTTGGTCAGGTCAAAAAAACAAGTACATCAGAGCACTTTTGGGATTCACCACCAAGGCGAATATAGAGAAACAGTGTCCTCCAGTGAGACACTTTTTAAAGTATCCCATTCATCGCCCAACAAAGTGCCCGTAGACATATTTGTTTTTTACAGTACAGACGAGACAACTTTATTTGTAGTCGACAAAGACACGTTTAACAGTTTGAGGAAAACATGCTAGGCTTTAAAGTTTTGTCCGTTTTTAGCCGACAGAGGATTTTTTTGTAGCATCTTACAACTACTATCCGTTTCAGAATACAATGCACTCTCTCGTTTTTGAATAACTTTTGTGAGAAAAGCGATAGAAACCTGCGGTTTTCAGCATTGTATAGCCAAGACTTTAAGACATGTATTTACAAGCAAAGACTAGTTTTGAAAAAATGTCAGC